ATACGATTAGTTCGGGCGAAAACTGATCCACCAGTACAAGCGGCAATTTGATATCGACAACTGCGCAAAAAGCCAAAATTGGTGTTAAGTGCAGAAAAGCTACTGCAGCTATGCAAGCTACATAGATTTCAAAGCGGCTCACCTGCATCTAGTAGAGCTTTCCGTTGTTTCATCAATATTGCAGATGGCACGATGAATAATGCAATGAATATATACGACATACATATTATTAGAGAACGTAGAGCTGTGATCCGGGAGAAATTATTTGCTAATATTTACTTTTCAAAAATCGAGGATTTATAAACAGAGACGGCACAATCCGACGTTAATAAATCGAAGTGTCTGATGGCGTCGTTCTTGTGGTCGTGCCAAAAATAAATCAACCCGAAGGGACGTATTCTCGAGAGATGACTAAGAAACTTTTCTTTATTCTGTTGCGTGTTTCGGTAATGGCAAAACGAATCGAGTGAAACGCGCGAGCGGAAGTAGTCGCGGATCGTTATATCGCATTTGTCGGTGCATCCAGATTGCGTCGTACGAAGCTATAAATGACCTCGATATAACGTCCGTTAACCCGGAATGAAAAAGGGGCTATAGAGGGTACCATCTAGAGACAGATTATGCGAAAGAATCTGTATACGTTTTATGCACTTGTTATATGAAAAGAGGTGAACGCTCTGCAGAAGGGAGATAGGTCTTTTTCATGTAAATATAAAGGCAAAAAAAGAGAAAAACGCGTCTTGGGCACGCGTGACATCGAACACGTCGTCGACCCGACGGAATTCGATTTCTTCCCAATGGTTACATAAAAACGTGCGGTTGTTGCTAAGCGCAACGTGCTCCCCTCCTCCCCCTCCCACCCTGTCCCAAGCGAGGCGCAGGTGCAAGGGTCGTGGCACAATGAACTATAAAAACCAGATATTAGGAATAAACAGTGCGCAGGGGAAAATAGAATTATGAAATATATAAATGTAGAATCGTAGTAAAAAAATACCTCAAATATACGATAATGTGAACAAATGCGGGACACCAAGTTCATAATCGATATAGCTCTTTTCCTTGGCTTTCAGACCTTTTTTGAAATATCCATAACTTACAAGAGCTTCCTTAAATTCTTT